TTCCATCTTCAAAAATTGAAGCAATTTTATCAACTTGAAGCAGCTCTTAGAAGTAGAATGAAAGTATTTGTGTTATGTTAATTTATTCATCATCCTGCCAGGAGAAATTTAAGGTTAGTGTGTTTTGTTTGAAATACATGCTTTTTTTAGTATGAGGAAATGATAGATGAAGTGTGACATCAGCTTGGGGAAGTCTTAAAAATTTCTATAACTACAATTAGATGATGATAGTTCATGATGATGTAAAATGTAGAGGGACCCCCCCAATCATCTGTGCCTAAGTGCCCCAGAAGATCTTAATCCATCAATGCAAATGTTGATTTTTTTGCAAATCAATGCAAATGTTGAACATTTTTTGATTTTTGAAGGAGTTGATGTTAACATCTACACTGAAAACTGGTTAGAAACATTTTAACACCAAAAAAAACAAAAAGTGTTTAACCAGTGCTAAAAAGTATTGATAGATAAATATTCACTTTCTATTTTAATTTATTTATATATACAATACATACATTAAAATATCATGAATACAACAGGATATAAAATTATAATAATAATTATTTTTGCCCACTCATATATTGAGCAACCAGTTTTTGATATCTCTGCTAAAATATTTTAATTTGATGGAATGTGGGTTAATATTTTTGATCTGAGACCCATTTGTTGGATACCAAGTATACACCAAAATTGTATTATTAAAATGCAACGAATACCAGATACAATAAGATGAAAAATAGACTGAGTGAAATTTATATTACAAAATTTAAGAGTCATTTAAGATAAACTGAATTTGTAACATTCAGCAAAATTCTCTGATTTGCCCCATTGAATCCATAAAGCAATTTGATGAATGTGCAAATTTAACTTGGACGGAACACAAATTATATATAATATATAACTAAGTTAACTATTACACATTTATCTATACTAATATTATAAAGAGGTAATGTTTGTAAGTTTGTATGCAAGGGCTAATCTCCGAAACTACTCATCCAATTTCAAAAATTCTTTCACCAATATTTACAATGGAACTTCAGGGTGGACTTAGGCTGTATATAGGCTGTATATTATTTCGTTAAACATTTCATATAAATCAAAAGATATCATCTAGGGTTAAGGCTTTTATGTCCAACAGATGGCGCTATGAGTACGACGCCCTAAGTTTGCTTTTGTGTGAGGTATTATGCTTTTCTGTGAGGATGAACTAAAGCAGATCATCTTCTATCTATCTATATAAATAAAAATGTAATGTTTGTTTGTTCCTACTGGTTCCTTTGAAATTTTGGCACAACGCTGCATTCGAATACGCGCGTGTTTTTATATAATATACGTGTCGAAATTTCTCCCACTGGGGGGAGATGGACAGGATTAAGGCTTAACATAAAGAACTTTGCTTCTATTTATACTATTTTAGAAGCGGTTATTTGTGTTTTAATAGGGTACGTCAACAGAATATACACTAAAAGGGGATTTTTCGATATTCCCCTGTGGGGAAAAGGGACAAGATTAATGCTTAACTGTGAAGAACTTGGCTTCTATTATATTATTTTAGATGCGGTTTTTTGCGTTTTTGATTGCGTTTTAATAGGGTACGTCAAGAGAATGTACTGTACAATAAGAAGGGATTTTTTGGAAAATCCTCCCCCTTCACGGGGGATGTGTATATACATTTATAATAGATACATTTTGAGCCACAACAACGCGTGGCGGGATCTGCTAGTCAGAGATAAATAAGTTATGACAAATGTATTTGTTGTTAAATACTTCTTGCTCAAAAGTTTCCAGATATTAAATTCTATTTTGTTATAGTTTTATTTAAATGAATGACTTTTTAACTGTATATTTTTCCCAGGAACTTATTAATATTTCATGGTTTATCTTATATAAAAAAAAGAGTAATAAATTTAATACATAATCATAAAAAAATATATCACCACAAAATGAAACAAAATGGCTTATAGAACTTGTAAAGGCTGTGTAAGTAGTTTTGTTTTATTTTATTTTTAATATTTATTAATAATAAAAGTAAAATCGAGAGAGAAAAAATATTGTTGTCTTAAACAATTAAATGTTCACATAGAAATATTAGTATAATTTTGAAAATTCAAAACAGTTTCTTCGTTAAAGAAGTTCTAGACCAGATAGCAACATGGGTTATCAGGATTTATTTTGCTTTTGTATCCTGAACAAATTTAAAAGATAAAATGGTCAAATTTATTAAATGAAACTTGTTAATAAGTATTATCATCACCCAACTTCACTGCCTGTAACTGGCGTTCTTCTTCTCCAATACAAAGGACTTTGCAAACGTTTTCGAACCTAATGTGGTTCTTCTTCAGGCGCTATGGAATTTCCTATATGAATTCGAATTTCCAGAATTAACCAGTATTATCATTTCAATTTTTAATTTGTTTAATTTAAAAAACTGAACAAATAAAAATTTTTTTTTTAGCAAAAGGGTCTTTCATGAAGCTCTGATCATCTAATGATTTTAAAATGACCCACAAGCCTATGCAAACAGTAAGTGGGATGATAGCTGCAGTGTGCCCTAAGTGCCAGGATTTTGTGGTGGACTCCAGTAGATACCAGCTATCACCATGGGTGATTCAGCCCACAGCCTATATATATACAGTATATAGCAGATACTGCTTGCTCCATGGGCTTCATTCACTTGTTCAAAAATTCTATGACAATTGATTCTTGTCATTTATATTCATTTGTTTACTTTTTTCATAACTGAAAAGTGTTGTGATGATAAGCTAAATATTATATATATAATATTTAGCTTATCATCACAACTATATATATATATATATAAATAACTTCACTACTTATATTTCACCAGTAGATATTGAAAATAGTTTTAAAATGACTAAAACGAATTTAATGTTTTCGATAAGAAATTAAAGATTTTTTAAAAGATTTAATTACTTTTTGAAGACATTAAATTTAGCACAATCTCATTTATTATTACTTAATGACATTTTGTGTAAGATTTTTAATCCTAGAGGTTTGTCTGAAATGTTGAAATTAATAAAATTTCTTGAAGAAACACTACAGTATTTATCTTAATTTAAACTTACAAAGAATTGTAAAAGTAAATTAAGCTTAGAGATTAAAAACAATAGTAAATACTTTGTAGAAAATTTTAGATTCAATTTATTTTAATAGGATTATTTTACAAAATAAAACATTTTCTAAATTGTAAAGTTCATATCAAATCAAAATCTGTTGAAATATTGAATAATAAGAATAAAAATAATTAAAAATTTTATATGAAAATAAACGAGCCAATGAAGACAATTTAGAAANCAAGAAATATTTAAAATATATTAAAAATTAATTTAAAAATTAAATATTCATCTGACAAAAATAGCTATTATTATCAGTTAGATAAATCTCTTTCTCACAGTTAAATAAAATAATTTAAATTCCACCGACATCGATAGGAGGAAAATTAAAAAAAAATTCAAATTTTATTAAATTTTAAGAATTTGAATTGTTTTTATAGAAGAGTTAATGATTCTATAAATTTTAATTTTTATATTAATTAAATAAAGAATTTTTTAATGAAATAATCTAGATGATATTGATAAATGATGCCGTAAAGTTGTTTTTTTAAGTGAATATTTGTAATTTTTAAAAAATACAATACTCTTATGTTTAAATGGATTATATATCAGAGTTATATATACGTCAGACCTCAAAATAACGCCACCATTTGCTCTGAAACTGGCGTTAAATCGAGTATGGCGATAAACTGAAGTCGACCCCCCTATAACACTGTCGATAATTCCGTTTTATATGAATTCCATGTTGTATGAGTCACTTAGATTTTACAAATTTTTGTGCCGGACTGTGAACGGCTCACGTATTTGTAAAATCTAAGTGACTCGTACAACATGGAATTCATATAAAACGGAATTATCAACAGTGTTATAGGGGGGTCAACTGTACAGTCTACACATAAATTTGATTTTGGGGGTTTGAGAGTGACACGACTTAGTTTTTTCAATGTAAAATCGTACGTTTAATAATTCGTAGATACCGAATTTATAAAGAAAATCTATTCAAAGGTTAGCGTTATTTCGGAGCGCGCTAAATCGAGATTTAATTATATATAAATATTTTAAAAATTATTTTAAAATCATAAATCAAGTAGTAATAAAAAAAAAAAAGAATTTACTCTGTAAGAAATAAAGTATAAAAATATATAAAAATAATATTTCCCGAAAGAAATTTAATTTTAAAATTTACAAATAAACAAAAAAAATATATTGTAAATATAATTTTACAATTGTTATAGTATTAAAATTTATTACATTTTCTTCATAAATTAAATCCATTTAAATTGCACCCCGTACAGTACAAATAGATGAAATCTAATCGAAGTGAGATAAGGAATAGAATTTATCTTAAATGTAAACTTTATTAATGAATTAGTTCAATAAAAATTTTAATTATGTTTAACAACACTCTCTAATTATATTAACATTTTAAAATGATATTGAAGTTACGGATTTTACTAATTAAAATATTTAGAAATTATATTATTATTATTATTATTTTTTGACTTCTTGTTAACTGAAGTAACTTTGTTAAGAGGTTTTCTAAATTTTATAGTGGGAGAACATTTTCAAGATTTCTCCCAGCTTCGGATCTTAAGCAAATTTAAACATTGAAATGATTGAACTTTTTAAAAAAAAGCTTTATTTAATAAATGTGAGCATTTCACTTTTTAAATTTATTTAGGATTCAAAGTGAATAGTAATCCTGAAAATGTTCATCTGCTATCTAATTTAGAACTTATTTAACTGATGGATAATTTTGGATTTTTTAAGTTAATATTCATGTATGAAGAATGTTCAAAAAGACTGCAATCTCAATACGTGTGCAGCATATTTATTTTTCAATTATTATAATATTATAAAATTTATATTATTTATTTTAATAATTCACTTTAAAATTTCATTATTATTATTATTATTTTTTTAAATTAGCTCCCGCAGTTGGAAACCTTACAAGTACTACAACAACAACAACAAATGGAACTAATGTAGCTACAAGTGTTTCCACAACTGTCACCAGTAGTTTGTCTCAGTCACAATTTCCTGGCATTATTTCCAGCAGTTATATCTCCACTGCTGTAAGTGATTGTTTTTAAATATTTTTGAATTTTTTAAAGATCAAGTTTTGTTTTCATTGTCAGTTTTTCATATATTGATTTTTTAGAGTTATTTATATACTTCTTGTTAATATTTAATTTTGTAAAAAATGCTTTTAATAATTATGTAAAATATGTATTGTGTATAATATGATTCAAGTTGTATTGTAACAATTTTCAAGAAAATGATGATAATCATATTCATGCATTACTCAAACTAAATTTTTGGAAATCACAAATTATTGTAAGACATTTCTTAAAGATTATAACTCACTTTCAGGAAATTCTATACAGCAAACATGTCAGTTAATAGAGAAAACATCTGCTAATTAGTATTTATATGCAAAACCATTTATTTGTTTTTGTATATAGCTGTTTAATTATACAGTTATACTAATGATGACAAATGGCAAATGTTTTATAACGGTTGATTAAATGACAAATGTTATATAACAAGTGTGAAAATCTGTTCAGGATGGAGAAACAATATTATTCCTTTGTACATCCAGCAAACTAATTTTACTTCATACTAACATTTTTGGTCATTTTTAAGACTTCCTTCAGGCAATTTAGAAGAAAACTAATAAAGAATATAAAATAGAATGTTTACAATTTAAAACTTGTCAGGTTGATTACAATGATGGTGAAATTATTTAGTTTCAAATGCTAATTCTCAAGCGTATAGTAAATAGATGTTTAAGTATTTATCATGACTTGTAGCAGGACAAACGTGACCAGCTTACTGCATTACCATACCTACTCTTTGCAAATATAGTAGTACCTCAGGATACGAAATTAATCCATTCCGAAACTGAGATTGTATCATGAAAATGTTGTAAGATGAATCGTTTTTTCTCATATGATTACATGTAAAACCAAATAATCCGTTCCAACACGAAAAACACTCAAATTAAAGCTAAGTAGTACATTGAAAAAAAAAACTTTAGTAAGGAAAACACTGAAAAATGCATTTTGTAGTTGTAAATGTATAATTAACCATAATAGAATAATAATTTTTTTGTAGAAAAGGGCTGGCAGAATTACAATTTAATAAAAAGTGAACATTTTAAACTGTTTTGCATATTTGTGCAGAGGCATAGCCTCTAAAGAAAGGTTGTCTCTGCAATGGAAATAGTTGTTCCTGATGATTGGACATGGCAAGCAAAATTGGACTTGTATCCAGATGTATTTTACTTTTTATTAAAAAGAATAATAATTGATAAAAAAAAATGTAGTTTTATTTGCACTTTACATTTGAATCCTCAAAGGTAAAGTGGATAGATGACGGTGGAGGTGTAAACTGGTGGTGGAGAAGAGGGAGAAGGGAAATAATACTAAAACTTAACTTACATAACATAATGTAACAATAACTTATAAATAACTTAACACTAATTTTTTTTATCTTTTCTGTTTTATATATTTATTTTTTATTCACTGCTTTTTGCTTTCTTTCTTTCTTTCACTTCCATCAGCACTTTCACTGGATAGAGGTCACTTGGTAAAATATCTTTCCAAAGAGGTTAGGTTTTGCCTACTTTTTAAAATGTTTCTAAAATGACTTAGGCAAATGTCATTACTCCGAGCAGCAATACGGCCAGTGTGAACCTGTTCGGGATGTTTCTTTTCAATAAAATTGGTCACTTTCTGATAATACCTCAAGATTTCCTTTATTGAGCGAGATTCTTCCATTACGAAGCAAACATGCGGACTGAGACTGATGGACAGAAGTGAATAAAAAATGGCACTGCAAACTAATGTAATGTCATATGGTGAGTTTTTGTTCGTACTGTGGAGCAAAATCATGTTCAAATTTCATGTCATATTCTGAAAATTTCGTATGTTGGAGCGTTCGTATCCTCAGGTACTACTGTAAATCTTTTCAATTGTTTGCCTTATATATATTATGTATATATAGTTATATACAGTAAAACCTGTGTAAACTGGTACTGCACAGTACTGAATATTTTTTCTGATTTGGCAAATTTTCATTTTGAACAGGGTTTTTTCCACATAGAAAATCCCTCTGTAGAGTTTTCCCATTTATGCAGGTTTTCACTTTATTCAGGTTCTGGTTTGGAAAGGTTTTACTATATGTATGTATGTATGTATATATATTAATAACTTTGAGAATAAGTTATTCTTTTATTTAAAATTTTTAAATAAATTTTTCTCTTGCAAAAGAAAAATATTGATTGTGATAACTATATATTTGTTAGTTTATTCAAAGTTAAAAGTTTTCTTGCTATCTTTCAATTTTATCTTTGTAACTTTGATTTCATACTTGTATATCCAGTCTTGCTATTACTTATTATGAAGTAGTTGAAGCATTTTCAGCTATTATATCAATTAACCTTGATTGTGAAGGTATTCCTGTTATCTTTTACTTATATTAACATCAAGTCTATTGTTGCTTCTTCTTTTTGTTTCTTGTTATAAAAATTTTAAATTATGATTTTGAAAGTAATCAAAGGCTGCCTTCTTTTGTTACTGTAATAAAAAAAAAATCCTATACATTTTGTGTATCAATTACAACATCTCATGTTTCACATGTCTTCTACAATATTTCAAGAATGTATTGTAAAGTATGTAATATATATTTTTTGTTTTAATATTAACTTGAATATGACTCAGCATCACAGTTTAAAGCAACATCTCATAGTATCAAATTTAATTGAAATTCAAAGCACAATTTTCACAAGAACTTTGCTTTAAAAAAAAGCACAATCTTTTGAAAATTGGTCTTCAATAGTAATGTATAGCGTGTAATGTAATATTCACATAAAGCTTTTGATTTGTCTTTTATGGTTTTTAATATCCTTGTTGATAATTTTGACATTTTAACTGTTATAATTCTCTAGTTAAGTAATTATTTGTAATAGAAGTCTTCAATTTTTGGACTTCAGTGTATTCCTAAAAATGTATGAAAGTTGAGAATGTGTGAAAGTTAAGCAGAAGAGTTGCATTCCTGCGGAAAAATTATAAAATATTTTATTAATGTAGGACAGTTATTTTATTTTTTTTACATGTATATACAGTAGAACCTCGAAAACTCGGCTCTCGATAACCCGGCACTCCGGATAACTCGGCCACACCCTGGCAGGGCAAAAAATTCCTTAGTTAATTAATTTTCATTATAGACAGCTTTATAAAAGCATAAAAGCTCTCATAAAGTATTTTTCTGAAGTCTGTCTTATCAGGTAAATTACTGTACACANTCTGTAATAATTACATTGGAAATATTTGTTTAACTTTAAATTAAATGAATCGGAAATGTTTAATTTGTAAAAATATATATATATAAAGTTGGATTTATTCCAGATTTCAGTTTAGATTTTTAAAAACTGAATACTTTGTGTAAGTATTCAGTTTTAAAAATTTAAATGACCTACATTCAGTTCAAGTGAGAACTTATCTTTTCGTTTATTTTGCTGGTTTGCCAAATTTTCTGCTTTAATAGCTTTTAGTTTTAATTGTTATTGGCCTAAAAAAAGATTACATTTAATCAATAATAAATCAATAAGCAATTTCTTCATTAATATATTTTGTCAAAAATCAATATTTAATTTTTCTAAAAAAGGAAAATTGCAATTTAATTAAATTAAAGAAAATTAAAATTAAAACTTCATTTTATTCTGTAATTATTCTAAATTGTTTTTGTATAATTAGTGATTCCATTTAAATAATATATTTCTCAAAATTAAAAAAATAAAGGTTATCTAAAAGATTTATAACTTTAATCATCAAATTCTATACACAAATTAACTTTATTGTTTTAAGAATGATTATGTTAATTTACTATTAAACAATGAACAACCAGTAGTACAGATACCAAATATATTTTTAGAAGTAAATATTTTCATGTATAAGCTTTTGAGTGTTTTCCTCAGAAGTTGAAAATCACACAAGTTATGGTCATGTAGTAAAGGCTCTATGCCTTCATAAAGGACGTACTTTTCGTTTGTTTAAGGGTATTTGGGCAGTTTATTCTCTGTTATATTCTGTACAAGTAAATACTGTACAAGTACAGTACAGTATTTTCTGAGGAAACACTCGTACTTATTTTTTTTAACCCCATTCCCGATAACTCGGCATTTTCACAAACTCTGCCACCCTTCGGTCCACATTAGGCCGAGTTTTCAAGGTTCTACTGTATAACAAAATATAAGATATTATTTAAAATGTTAAAACTGCAAATTAAACAGAAAATAAAAATTAATTTTTACACATAATTTTTATATATGTGTAACATACATAATGGTTTTTATACATTTTGGTTTTATTATGTGTAACACACATAATAAAACCAAAACTGGCAGAAAGCTCTGTACACAAATCATTATAGCATTACTAAACCACTAATTAACTATGTTTTACATCAAAATCTTCAACATTTAACAACTGCTATACAGTGTTAATTCAAATGATAAATATGTAGTATTGTATTAGTTTTTAATATTTATAACTTAAGTGCTTTTGAACTTTGCTGGCTCTTCTTCAGAAGCATAAATTATGCCAAAAAACAAAAAAAATCATTAAATGTTAAGCATTCAGAAACACATTCCACATAAGTTGCTTCAAATAGTACAATTCATTTTGTAAATATTATTATAGTTAATATTTTATATTTTGTGAAGCTGCCAGATATTTTTGGTATATTTATAAGAATGATTTCAAAAATAACTATTTTATTTGATTTATGATTTTGAAGTGTTAGTGAAGAATGATTTAACTACGCCTTTTAATTTTTATGAAATTTTAATAATTCATTCATGCTTATAACAGAATGAGAATAATACTGGTTTCTAGCCAAAAAATAAGTTATAAGAATTAATTAAAATTGAATCAAGTTGAAATAATTTATTGCCTTGTTTGTGTATAATTTATTGCCTATATTGTGTATAACAATATATAGAATTATAAACATATAAAAAACAACATTAAGTAGACTATTGAAGTAATTTATTAAGTGGTATTAAACATTTTTTTTAGACCCAAATGTCTCATCTTCAGATCTTACATCAATTAAAAAAAAAAATAACAAACACATTAATTATTTTTGATATAAATGAATACATAGAATCTCTATGTTAATATTTAAATGTATTTGTAACTTTTTAATATTGATGTATGAACTGAAGATAAGACATTTTGATCTAGAAAAACATTTAATATCAGCTAATAAATAATTTTCGTAATTCATTTAGCATTGAAAAATATACACTATTGAAGACTAAAATTAATCTACATCAATTTTAGTTTTCAATAGTATATTTTTATAAAGATATTTCATCCTGTATTTTTTAATGTTTATTTACAAAAAATTATTTAGCATTGTTTTTTTCATTTGTTGACAAAGTAAGAATTTAATAATTAATAAGGAGATAGAGAATTATATTTGGGCTGCAATTTGAAAAAATTATAGACCTATAAATTCCCACTGTCATCCGTCCGTTCATCCATCTGTCTTTCCTTAATCATGAGAATGGAATTAGATAGATGAAATTCAAAACCAGATACGGAAACCTTAGGGGCAGGAGGTCTTGATTAATTATATATGAACGTTCCATGCAAACCAGGATGCACATTATTTCAATTCAAAACTTTCCCTGAAAGGTGTTAGATAGATGATTGACACGACTTTATTGTTAAAGGAAAAGTACAGGGACAGGCCACTACTAATTGAGGTGAAGAGCATATATTTTTAATGAAATTGATTAAAAATTGCTCGTCACAATAAATACTTGCTCGTATATTGAACACTCCACCCTCGCGACTTTAGAAAATCAGATTGTAGATATTTCGATGGCATCGCGAGTCGTAATTTCCTGGTACGTTGGTTATTTTGTCGTTAGATTAGTTTTTTGAACGTTATTGCTAAACATTAAACAGCCTGCCCGAGTCGGAATTTTGACAGTATGTACGCCGGTGAAAAGTTACGTAATACCTTAGAGCTCATTTGATATTTCGGTTCGTTTTCAGGTCGATGATTGACAGACAGAGACAGTAGGCTATTTATCCGAAAAGTAAACAACGGCAGCATTGCCTTGTTCTGCGGAGAGGACGAGTGCGATGTGGTATTTACCTGATATGGCCGACGACGACATTTCTATCGGTACATTATGTTGGAATAGACGTTTGGAAAGTAATCATCCGGTGTCACCGTGGCGCAATCGGTTAGCGCGTTCGGCTGTTAACCGAAAGGTTGGTGGTTCGATCCCACCCGGTGACGAATTAGCGAGTCGAGGGGAGAGAATTTTTTCTAATTATTTTTTTGGCGGCTTCGTGTGATTCGTTGGCAATGCAGTCAACAGCGGCGTTCAAACTGGACTTTTGCAGAGACAGAATTCCATGCTGTTTGCTTTGTTATTAAAAAATTTAACGGTACGTTTAAAAGAACAAAACCTACTACAAAATAAGCTTCTAGGGGAAGAAATGCATTTTGATAAAACGAAAGCGCCACGCGTTAACAGCTGGTTGGACAAAACGAAACGCCAGCACTGTGCATCGGCCGGGAATCGAACCCGGATCACCCGCGTGGCAGGCGAGTATTCTACCATTGAACCACCGATGCCCGTCTCTCAAACAACTGACTATTATTACTTCTGTATCAATGCAACGTACAAATATCCAATGCTCTGCTGGTGTGTCACCGTGATTGTCGTACATCGAACTGATTCAGACAACGCAACATTCGAAGCTTGCACAAATCCTCTCCAACGACTGCCACGTATTCATTGCTAGATATTACTCTGCCCGTCAAACTTAATTAAAACTAAAAATTTATAACAGTTTACGCTTCAACTTTCGAACTGCTGTAAGAACGAGGGGAAAAATTTAACGCATTAAATTAATTTTACTGATCGTTTATGTGTTTCGAGTAAGAGGAAATCGCTGCAACGCTTAGCGAGCCGTCTTATTGGACGGTTTGAGAGTGAAATGGTGTTGGTTTAAGTCGAATTCCTTGTAGAGATAAAGGTACGAAAAGCATCGGTAGTTCAACGGAAGAATACTCGCTTCCCAAGCGAGTGATTCGGGTTCGATTCCCGGCCGATGCATGCTNGCGTGTTTCCTGATAAATTATTTTTCTGTGAAAAATTTGCTGAACTTTGGAGATATCATTAATATAAATATAATTTTTATGGACGTTAAATAATAAATGGTTTTTAGTAGGTCCGCTGCTCATTTAAACTCAATTGTTTGTGCAATATCCACTATTGGTCTAGATTCGACCAATCCTGTCTCAACACGAGTCGGTGATGACATTTTACTGTTATATAGGAGTCTCTTTTAGTGTGTTTATTCAAATACAGTCGCAATTTTTTTGCTGTTATATACGAATCCGAATTATATGAACCCGTTTTATAGGGGTCTACTGTATATACATTTCAAAGAATGATTAATGCAAACAGCTTCTGGTTATGAAAGAAAAATTTCCTTAAAGATTTTTGCCATCTATTATATTCAAAGTGACACTTAATGAATAGTGTTGTTAGTCATCAGTTAAGGTATTACAACTGCATATCTATGAAACTGCAGGACTCAAATCTGCATAAGTCAAGGACTTAGTATACAAACTATTATTAACAAAATTTTTAAGTAATTAATAAAAAAAAAAGCATCTGTAATTAATGAACTATTATCATCATCTGCTGCTGAGAAATGTTTATTAAACAAAACACAAATGTCTTCAATGCAGTTCAATGCACAAATTTATACAGTATTTTGAGAAATGATAAAGACATGCTTAGAAAAGAAGAAAAAGCAGGCATATATAGAATTCCATTTGAAAATCAGCAATTAGGAATTAAGAAAGACTATAGTGGGGTCACAAGAAGGAATCTAGCAATTAGACTTAAGGAGCACATGTATGGCATACGTAGAGGACTCCATAGTCAAATGGAAAGAATTAAAAATTGCAGCATCAAAACGATGTCACAATAAAAATAATTGCTTGTTTTTCATTATCTTAATTTTAAAAAACATTACAAATAGTTATTACAAAATATTTTATGTAATAAGTATATTATTTTACAAGTATTTTCACTGTTAGTAAATGCTAAATTGCTTTAATAGATACATGCATATATATACACATGTATATACATATAAGTTTTTGTTAAATGTTATTTACAAATAATTTTTAATATAATACTGAACAGAAAACTTTAACTCTGATATCAACAGTTTTTAAACTGACTTGTCAAAGTTCCTCCATCATTATAGATTTAAATAATACAATTCATCACCAATTAATTCTGAGTATTTTTGGCTAATAATCAAGGACCATCATCAAGGATTTACAAATAGAATCCAATAAAGACAGTCGTTTTCAGATTTTATTTATAATTCCCTTGACGATGGTGAATTAAATGGATGTATCTGAGAATTTCTGATTTAGATGATTATGAATTTAAGAATGAAATTATTAATATATAATTTGATCAATAATAAGAACAACTTTTTAACATGACATGTTAATATTTGCTCATTATTTGAGAGCTTATACATTCAATTTCCTTTCAGCTATTTATTTTTATATTTCTTAAATTCTATTTATTAAATATTCGACAGATAACAACATAAAATTATCTGTTACCTGAAAAATTATAAGAAATTAATAATTAAATATAATATAAAAAATTCTGTAATAATTACATTGGAAATATTTGTTTAACTTTAAATTAAATGAATCGGAAATGTTTAATTTGTAAAAATATATATATATAAAGTTGGATTTATTCCAGATTTCAGTTTAGATTTTTAAAAACTGAATACTTTGTGTAAGTATTCAGTTTTAAAAATTTAAATGACCTACATTCAGTTCAAGTGAGAACTTATCTTTTCGTTTATTTTGCTGGTTTGCCAAATTTTCTGCTTTAATAGCTTTTAGTTTTAATTGTTATTGGCCTAAAAAAAGATTACATTTAATCAATAATAAATCAATAAGCAATTTCTTCATTAATATATTTTGTCAAAAATCAATATTTAATTTTTCTAAAAAAGGAAAATTGCAATTTAATTAAATTAAAGAAAATTAAAATTAAAACTTCATTTTATTCTGTAATTATTCTAAATTGTTTTTGTATAATTAGTGATTCCATTTAAATAATATATTTCTCAAAATTAAAAAAATAAAGGTTATCTAAAAGATTTATAACTTTAATCATCAAATTCTATACACAAATTAACTTTATTGTTTTAAGAATGATTATGTTAATTTACTATTAAACAATGAACAACCAGTAGTACAGATACCAAATATATTTTTAGAAGTAAATATTTTCATGTATAAGCTTTTGAGTGTTTTCCTCAGAAGTTGAAAATCACACAAGTTATGGTGCGACTATGTAGACGCGAATTTAGAGCGAGCGAGAGGTTGCGAGTGATTTAGTTTTCGCAAAGGAAAACCATGCACAAATGAGAAGCGAGAAATAACGCTGGCTAGAGCGAATTCCTGGTTCTCGCACATATCTGACAGGTTTTGATATTTATCGCGTCTCGTCTCTTCTCGCCACATATTCTCGCTCGCTCGGAAAATTCGCTCGCTTGCGTCTGCATAGTTGCACCCTTAAATAGTGCATGTATATTATGAATTTTAACTTACACTAATACATACATCATACATACTGTGTATATACAGTTGATCCCCCTATAACATGGTAGATACGTTTCGTTCTTTATGAAATTGATGTTCTACGAGTCCTTAAATACATGAGCCAATCACAGCCCAACACGTATGCAGTTTACGGACTACGGCTGTTTGAAAGGTTTTCTTCCATAAAATTAACCGATTCTAGACTAATTTGACTCAACATTTCCAAAACACCTATAATTTTTTGGGAATAATCCATATAAACTATACTATAAATAAAAAATTGTAGGATTATTTACTGAGTGTGCACCGTTCGACACCGCCATTGCTTAAACTTGTTTTTGTCGTGGAGCGGCACATCAAACGGGTGCGCGTGTTTCCTGATAAATTATTTTTCTGTGAAAAATTTGCTGAACTTTGGAGATATCATTAATATAAATATAATTTTTATGGACGTTAAATAATAAATGGTTTTTAGTAGGTCCGCTGCTCATTTAAACTCAATTGTTTGTGCAATATCCACTATTGGTCTAGATTCGACCAATCCTGTCTCAACACGAGTCGGTGATGACATTTTACTGTTATATAGGAGTCTCTTTTAGTGTGTTTATTCAAATACAGTCGCAATTTTTTTGCTGTTATATACGAATCCGAATTATATGAACCCGTTTTATAGGGGTCTACTGTATATACATTTCAAAGAATGATTAATGCAAACAGCTTCTGGTTATGAAAGAAAAATTTCCTTAAAGATTTTTGCCATCTATTATATTCAAAGTGACACTTAATGAATAGTGTTGTTAGTCATCAGTTAAGGTATTACAACTGCATATCTATGAAACTGCAGGACTCAAATCTGCATAAGTCAAGGACTTAGTATACAAACTATTATTAACAAAATTTTTAAGTAATTAATAAAAAAAAAAGCATCTGTAATTAATGAACTATTATCATCATCTGCTGCTGAGAAATGTTTATTAAACAAAACACAAATGTCTTCAATGCAGTTCAATGCACAAATTTATACAGTATTTTGAGAAATGATAAAGACATGCTTAGAAAAGAAGAAAAAGCAGGCATATATAGAATTCCATTTGAAAATCAGCAATTAGGAATTAAGAAAGACTATAGTGGGGTCACAAGAAGGAATCTAGCAATTAGACTTAAGGAGCACATGTATGGCATACGTAGAGGACTCCATAGTCAAATGGAAAGAAGTGACTATCCTCCGGGTTATACATTTCCATTGTTAGTAATGAATGAAGAAAAAATTGAAATTTATAAAAGTAAATAAATTAAAGGATGGTTGCATAAATGCCAGGGATGCAGATGGACTACCTGCTGCATGAAAATTTTGCATAAAAGAAAAATTAAAACATAAAAATTCTTAGTTGTCACCCATCTATATATTTGGATGCATTTTTGTTTATTTTATTATTTATATCATTGTTTTAGTTTATTTAACCTTTTTTATCTTTATATTTTATTGTTTAATTGTTAATTTATCTAATATTTTTGTTTTAAATTTAAATGTAAAAAAATTTGACATTTCTTTGTTAAAATGCTCCATTTTTGAAAAGGCATTTGAATTTAGTTATACCTGAAAATGGCCTATTGTATCAGGTTGAAACGTTTGTGTTTTGTTTAATAAACATTTCTTAGCAGCAGAAGGTATTGATAGTTCATTAAGTATTCAAAAAGCTGAGTTTGATATTTGGTTCATCATCTGTAATGTTAAGTGGAAACTTTAATAAAACAATACATCTGTACTTCCATCTAACCTATGTAAGTCTTCTTCGATTATGAACGTAGAATATAGAAATTTCCAGTACAATGCAGTTTAAATTTCACATTTTTAAACTTATTCCATGGTTACAATATATCTGATACAATAAACTGTTGAGCAAATTAATTAAATAATACAATTAATTCACAAGGATTTTAAATTGCTTTTTATTGAAGTACTGTACATTCTAAGATTTTAATTGGAGAACTAGTTAGTTTAGGTGGTGATGTTTTTATTAAAATTTCTTACATTGCAGTGACTTTTTATTAACTAATTTCTAGCAGCAATGTGTAGTTATATCTATAATTTTCAAACAGGAACCACTAAACTTTAAATATTAATTTTTCTCATTTTCAAACCTACATTCCAAATGACAATTCCATAGCAGCTGTTTGGATTGTGACCTAAAGATGAGAGGAATATTAAATTTACTTGTGCTTGATGATTTTTTTTTCAATTAAATTTCACTTTATTAAAGTAATTGGGGCATTTTATATTCTTAAATAAGTAATTTATTTTATTTCTATATTTATTTCATCAATCAGCATTTTATGTTGAAACTTTTAAAATATATTTTCAGGTTTCTCCTCAGCAACAGTCACCACGTTATCCACCAAATCATCCACTAAGTGGTTCAAAGCATTTATGTTCGATATGTGGAGATAGAGCATCAGGAAAACATTATGGTGTTTATAGGTAAAAGTTATTTAATGTTATTTGTTTAAAATTATTAACATGTTTATGTGATGATGATAAAAATTTAATTAATAAAAATACTTTGTGAAAGTGTTTCTTGTCATCAAAATATATTTTATTATTTTTATTCATTAAAAAGTTTTTTCATCACTTATAAATAATGTTACAATTATTCAGTTATATATATAATAGTCTCACTGACTCATTTACTCATTGATATGAATGATTGAATAGAAGCAGATTTCTTACAGAAGATTGAAATAGTGTATTCAAAAGAGAATGCTGAATATGTTAACAGATAAATCTGAAATCTCAAAAAAAATCTTTGTCCATAAAATACTTGATGTCAAAGTTTGTCTTTTGATGCCTCATGCAACATTGTAATGTCTGTTGGTCAATTAATTCAAGTGCCACCTGTTTGTTTTTAACTTTTGTTTTTATTAACTTGTTCTGCTTTATTTCAAATAACAACAATTTTAATTTGTCTTACCATTGATTATACTTTACAAATAATACTTGAAAATATAGTAGTTATTTAATTAATAAAAAAAGGAACAAAATTTGTAGTAATCCAGCATAATTTTTTTTTTCTTAGAACTAATATTTTGTCTAATTTATAGGCTATGTTCAAGTTTGATTACAGAGAAATAAAATTGTAAAATTCAAATGTAATAAAGATTAGATAAAAATTTACAATATATACACAAAAAATCAAAAATATGTTTTATTATAATCTAAATAATGTATGAGTTAAGCCTTAAAAAATATTTTAAATAAGAATATTTTATAATACAGTAGAGCATTGATTATTCGAATCAATTGGGGACTGGGTTGTTCGGAAAATTGATTTTTCGGATAACTGATTATGTACAATAAAATATACTAACCTATCCCATGTTGAAATTCGTTCAAATTCTGGCATGTCCTTAAGTACCCTTTCATGGTTGCAGTGCTGCCAGCTAAAACACGCACACCAACAAAAATAATATTGGAGTAGCCCAAGACATAGTCAAAGATTATAGCGCCACAGCACTAGTTTAAATTTAAATTTGCCGACTGGAAAGCTTTCGGTTAATTGACGTTTTGATCGATTAATATTCGGATAATTGATGCTCTACTGTATTCTCCTTTACAATATTTATTTCTAGAATTTGGTAGAGAATTGTCATCTCTGGCATTTAGGCAATATTTCAGAGAGTATAGTGTAATTAATGTGTATAGGATTGTTATAACTTAATGATTGTGAGGAGTTATGTGACTTTCTCATCACCACCATCCTCCAAGCAAGTAAGCATCAGTCTTCTATATTGGAGTTGGCCCATATCATATGTTATATTGTCTTTTTTACTTTTGAAGGAGTCACTTATCTTAATGATTTTTGTTTCATCCCAGTTTTTATAATACTATTTCTTTGTGATTGAACTTGAGGATGGTCTAGAAGTTAGGTGAAAAATATTAGTTCTGATAAAGAAAATAAAGTACATGCTGGAATATGATACTGTCCAATTTTTTTAATTACTTTTACTATTAATATTTGATGTTTCACAACACACACACACATTTGTGTTATACACAGGGTTCCTACGCACCTGGAAAGTCAGGGAAAATCAGGGAAAGTCAGGGATTTTCATTATTTTTTGAAAAAGTCAGGGAAAGTCAGGGAATTTGTCAAAAATTGTCAAAAAGTCAGGGAATTTGTCGAAAATTGTCAAAAAGTCAGGGAATTTGTCTCCTTAACTGCGTTGTTGATTTCGTTTGCTGAATATAGATGACCAATCATAGCCATACGCAGGCGGCAAGAAGTAATGCTGCAATCTTTAAAACCCGAGATAACTCGGGAAAGTTCCANGGTCTCCCCTCATGATTTTCACATTTTTGGGCTCAGGAGGCCTTGAAATGTCGAGAAATGCAAACAAAAAAACCACAAGCGGGTGGGGAGATATAGGGGGAATCACGTGTTATATTTCGATTGGGGTCGTACTTAATGAAGATTTTATTTGTTGTTAGCATTTACATTTTTTTTATAAAACTCGTCTCTACTCTTAAAATTAAGCTTTTTGTCATTTTATAGTAATTAATAATATAAAAATTTTTAATAAAATCTCATAACAGATACTTATATATATGAACCAGAATGAAACTTTAAATTTGAAAAAATATACTGATGACCTGATCAAAAATGTTATCAATAATATATTTTTTCAAAATTAAGTTTTTATTTGGGAACTGTAAAGGTTATTTAAGCTATGTTTATTGTACCATTATCTAATGAATAGCAATTGTTAAGCTGGATCTTGTAGCAGATGGCACTACATAAAATTTTAGCTCTTGCTGGGAAAGTTATGCTACTCATTGCTAATTATTTATAAACTAGCAGATGAGCCTGGTGTTGCTCTGGCAAAAAATAACAACAGCAAATATTAAGATTATTAGATAGTTTCATACTTCTAACATTTCTACTAAATTATATTATAGTATTTGACTTATATTTACAAAGGTTATCTTATGTAAGGGTTTATCACACCGAGTGACCAATCTAACACATTTTAAAATTTCTTTAAATTGTGTACAGTAGAGGAATAAAGAATTTTAAAATTGTGTTTATTTGTCACTCAATGTGATAAGCCCTTACATAAGATAACCTTTGTAGTTATATATTATAAATCAAATACTATAATGCATATTAAAACAAAAACCATATGAAGAGTTTGGTTATTTCAGTCTACCATTGTCACATTTATTGCCGTACTATAATGGTACAAAATGGCACAAATTCAATAATCTAGTAGACAGGAATTGAAGACACGATATCTTAAATTTTTTTAAATATATTTTTTTCTAATGTTAGCTATAACAAATTGTTTCATTCATAGCTGAATATCAAATGATGATCTGTCAATGAATCAAATTTTGGAAAAACGTACCAAATATTTAAATTCAACATCCTTGAAAACCACTTAAATAATATTTTGTGCTTGCTGGTAACCTTGTATTATGTAATTTTCCTATTTGAATACCACCATACGGCTCATCTGATAGAAAGAAAGGACTATTGCAGAAGGGGTGGGATTGAAGTAATTCAACCAAAAGTAGTCATTGATCTCCTCCCAGCAGAGAGGATGCTCAATGACTACTAATTAATACCAGTCTATTGATACTATTAATATTTGAAAAGTGATTCATGTTAGACAGTGTGATGGCCCCACATGTGATTGAACTTGCTAACCTTAATGTTCGAAAGATTTCATATAAAACTTGTTTAAATAAAAAAAATCTTGTAAAAATGCTAGAATAATTTTTTTATGTGATGATAAAGTGTTTAAATTTCAGAAACAGGTTATATAGACTACATGGGAAGTATTTTTTGTAAATATTGCATTTATAGAAAAATTATTGGGCTGCAATTTGATAAAATTGTAGACCTATAAATTCTAACTGTTGTCCCACTGGCTGTCTGTTCGTCCTTCCTTAATCTGAAGAAAAGTGTTAGATGAAAGTTGAGACCAGATGTGGAAAGCTTAGCAACAGGAGGCCTAGATTAACTATATACGAACTTCTGGTTTGGAACAGAAGTAATGTTACTTTGATTCAAAATTTCCCCAAATAAAGTTTGATATATGACCGATGTGACAGGAAAAGTATGATGTATAGGACCACCACTGAAAGAATTGAGAACAATGTGACAAAAAGTTGCAGCTTGGCATTGTGATGATGTCACAATAAATAATTGCTCATTAGAATTAGTTTTGTTTATTTGGTTATGGCAACACAACACTTGAGTGCTCTGCCAAAGAGGATGCATTCTGGAAAGGTGTTTATGTAAAGCTGGCCTCAATTTAAGTATGTATACCCACTAACTAGCTTTTAATGCTTTGCAGTAAATTTAACATATCACAAATGTTTTTGGCCCACTCTAGAACCTTCTTCAGGTGGAATTCTACAGAAACTTTTTCTGGTGCGATTATCATTCTATTTTGTTTTCAATTAGAAGCATTAAAAGGTTAGTGGATATATATATATTTATCAACACTTTGTTTCTTGGATGGCTTTTACTCAATTTAAGTGTTACTAATGTGAAGAAAACTCCATTTGGTCAGTCTGTTGACCATGCGCAAACCCACAACTAACTACTGGTGTTTGGTGGTTTTATCCACTCAGTTACTGGAGTATACTTATTGGGCTGCAATTTGAAAAAATTGTAGAGCTGTAAATTCCCACTGTTTATCTGTCCTTCCTTAATCTTGAAGTTGGAGTTAGATGAAAGGCGAGACAAGAACTGTAAGAGAAAAGGACCAGATTACTTATATATTAACTTCCAATTTGTATCGTAAGTCGTGTTATTTCAATACAAAAATTTTCTCCTGAACGAAGTTAGATACATAACCGGCACGACTCTATTGCTAACAGGAAAAGTATGGTGTACAGGAGCAAAACACTACTACAGTCCACACAGGCAAGTGCTATGTGCTACCTGTTGCAGTAATGGTGCATCTATTATGTATTATATCATTGTAGCAGTAATTCAGTGAATATAATATATATTTTAAAAATTATATCTATTTTTTGTAAGAATTATATTTAGTTAATTGTTTTGTTAAATTTTTTTCCAATAGATGGTACTACATGTAAAGACAGCAATCAAACGTAGACAGAAATTAATTGATATATAGAAATTCAATTGATAATTTGGGGTTGGATGCTTGACATGGTCTAAGATAGAAGTATCTGAATGTAACTGCCACGTTTCATAGCAATTGGTCGAATGGTCTAGGAATGCATGCGTAGCAAACAAACATTCATCCATCCTCATTTATATATATAGATACTGTAATCTTGTGTTAAAAAAGTAGAATATAATATACATTGATCATTAATTATAATAATTAGCAAAGTTAGTAAAATAAACATTATAATGAATGTATCAGAATACGTATTGATTATTCTAATAAGCCATTATTAACTTTTCTTTAATCTTTTCATGCTTGAGAGTTAATGAATAT